GTGTGTGGTGGAAGTGGGTCAGTGTGGTGGTGGGTTCACTGATGAGTCGTGTGTTGTGGAAGGGGGCAGTATGGTGGTGGGTTCACTGATGAGTCTTGTGTAGTGCAAGTGGGCAGTGTGGTGGTGGGTTCACTGATGAGTCGTGTGTTGTGGAAGTGGGGCAGTGTGGTGGTGGGTTCACTGATGAGTCGTGTGTTGTGGAAGTGGGGCAGTGTGGTGGTGGGTTCACTGATGAGTCGTGTGCAGTGGAAGGGGGCATTGTGGTGGTGGGTTCACTGATGAGTCGTGTGTAGTTGAAGTGGGGCAGTGTGGTGGTGGGTTCACTGATGAGTCGTGTGTAGTTGAAGTGGGGCAGTGTGGTGGCGGGTTCACTGATGAGTCGTGTGTTGTGGAAGCAGGGCAGTGTGGTGGTGGGTTCACTGATGAGTCGTGTGTTGTGGAAGTCGGGCAGTGTGGTGGCGGGTTCACTGATGAGTCGTGTGTTGTGGAAGCAGGGCAGTGTGGTGGTGGGTTCACTGATGAGTCGTGTGTTGTGGAAGTCGGGCAGTGTGATGGTGGGTTCACTGATGAGTCGTGTATTGTGGAAGTGGGGCAGTGTGGTGGCGGGTTCACTGATGAGTCGTGTGTAGTTGAAGTTGGGCAGTGTGGTGGCGGGTTCACTGATGAGTCGTGTGTTGTGGAAGCAGGGCAGTGTGGTGGTGGGTTCACTGATGAGTCGTGTGTTGTGGAAGTCGGGCAGTGTGATGGTGGGTTCACTGATGAGTCGTGTGTAGTGCAAGTGGGGTAGTGTGGTGGTGGGTTCACTGATGAGTCGTGTGTTGTGGAAGTCGGGCAGTGTGATGGTGGGTTCACTGATGAGTCGTGTGTTGTGGAAGCAGGGCAGTGTGATGGTGGGTTCACTGATGAGTCGTGTGTAGTGCAAGGGGGGCAGTGTAGTGGTGGGTTCACTGATGAGTCGTGTGTAGTGCAAGTGGGGCAGTGTGATGGTGGGTTCACTGATGAGTCGTGTGTTGTGGAAGTCGGGCAGTGTGGTGGTGGGTTCACTGATGAGTCGTGTGTTGTGGAAGCGGGGCAGTGTGGTGGTGGGTTTACTGATGAGTCTCTCTCCACCCCCCTCTCTATTTAAGGCCTCGACACAGAGGCGTGATTTCTCTTTGTGCCTAAGTTTTGTTCTCTCTTTATGTATCTCTGTGATATCTGTCCGCTTATATGTCTGTCTATATGTCTCTGGTTCTGTGTTTGATCTCTCTCTCAAATTTAGCATTCTTAGGAAGAACGTAATCAACCAGGTAGGGTGTTGACTGTTACGTTATCCGACTCTTTGTATTACATTACATTTCTAAGTATACTAGATTTGTGTTTCTATTTAATTTATACCTGATGATGATTGCTTGTGTTGCAATCGAAACGTCGTATGCTAGTATTTAATTTAATTTATTATTTTATCTTGATACGTGACTTTACCGAAAGAACCAAAGAATAATTCCTGCAGTCACGAAAGCTCCAAATTAAGTTTAGTTGAGTATAGTTTAATGACTCTCCCTGTGATTGGATGCCCGTTGTGGTAAATCCTCACTCTGCAGGGCGCTGGTGCAGTGCCACCTGGTGGACACAAAGCGGTCCTGCAAAGTTCAACATCCACGAAGTACGGCGGGCGGGTTTCTGGGCCGTCCTTCGCAAAGTTTTAATACAAACCAGCGGCCCGCCCGTCCGCCCCTCCCTCCCTCCAGTAAGCAAAACTCTTTTTGTACACATATATATAACATAGTATGATGAGGTTGTATTGAAATACTTGTTAATGATTGAAGAGTGTGTCTGTTACTCAGCAAGCCACCATTAGGTAGCTACCCATATACATGCCTATGACAAAAAACTAGTAATCACGATATTTTTTCAAAATGCAATTATTAAACAGGCACCATGGTGTTAAGTGCACTTTTCAACTCGTATTCACCCTTTCTCTCTGGCCTCCGTGTGTTATGAAGATCAAATGCCTGAAATGCCACTTATACATACTTTAATCACCCAGGAATGTCTGTTCTTAACGCTCGTGACGTCACTCCACATCGACCAGCCCCCTAATTAATATTCATGAGCAGGTTACGTCACCCACCCCTCCTCATTAATAGTCATGAGCATGTGACGTCACTCCACATCGAACAACCCCCCCCTCATTAATAATCATTATAAGGTGATGTCCTCCAAATGGACCCCCCCTCCATTCATAATAATTAACGGTGACGTCACTCCACATGGGGGGCCGAGGCGCCTCTTCTCGGCATCAACTTACAACTCGGGCTGAACGATTAATCGATTTCAAATCGAAATCGCAATTTGATACAATGCGATTAGCAAATCGCAAAGGCTGCGATTTTTTGCGATTTCAAAAGTCCTATTACTTTCTTATTGGAATTGTTTTATTTTTAGTTATAACTTTGTTAATTTACCTTTACAATTGTTACATGTTTGATTGTTCTATTTCCATTAAAACATTTTAATAAATACATGTTGGAAGCAATTCATATCTTCTAAGTTCTCATCCTTGCATTAGAATATATAGAGCAGTTCATATTTTGATGGTATCATGTGGTAATGCTCCATCACATGTTTTAAATCTATTACACAGTGAATATTGAACTAAAGCTTGACTTAAAAAAAATTAATCGCAAATCAAATCGCAATATCTGTCAGAAAAATCACAATTAGATATTTTTTCCAAATCGTTCAGCCGTCCATACAATCCTCACTACAAAGGCAGAACCCTCACGTCACACGATCTCGGTAACACTATTGCGACATAGAAGTAAAAATGACGTCATGATGAACAAGAGATTATAACCTTAAAATGAATTAAGTCTGTGTCACCACAGCCTTACAAATTGCAAACGAATGGATTGAATGGATGCAATGAATATCACGACGCGTTGTGCTTTTCGCTTGCAAGTTTCAGTTTTACTACAATACACCCGTCCTTGGATGGGCAAAAGGCTAGTGTATATATTTTTTTAGCTTTTAATGCCAGTGTGAATGACGAATGTGTTTTTTTGTTAAAATATATTTCATACGTTCTGACTACTCTGCGACCCTACTGCAATGTAAACAAATCTTAAAGCTCTACTTTCATTACACCTCCGATTCGCGTGGTTGTCTACGTACGGTGCAAAAGAAGTTCAACACACATATATAAAATGTCGTAATTCATATCGGAAAAAAATCCTCTTACCGGTAACTCCACGCGGGAGATGTAGGCCATAAAGTAAAGTTGGGTAAATTCGCGGATAAGGAATCAATTGCATTGCACGATTTAAATTCCCCTTTATGTCAATGCCAATTCAGCCCCAACTGTCGTTGTGTTCAGCCGATGGGGCCGCCGCAGCTGTAACACACGGTCGGTAAATTGGGTGCCACGTTGTTGTTTTTTTTACAATGAAGTAATATTGCAAGATGAGTTAGAAGAGTTGTTAATTTTGTGAAATCGAAGTCATTTTGACTTTGGGCAATTATAACCGGCGGGCAGGAACAATTGTTGAAAGGCAGGCAAAGGAGGGGAACACATCACAGGGGGGCATCGTCCACGGAGATGCAGCAATGGAGATCGGCTCGTGTGAAGAAGCAACTGACCTCATTGTTGCACCGTAGGCACATGCGGATTGCTGATGACAGGACTGCATTATATATATATTTTTACATTGTTGAAATTTAATCCCATTTCACCTGTTTGCGTTCACATGGGTGTTGTTATATTTCGCTACAATTGGGAAGTCATGCCGGTATTTTAATAATTGTGTATACATTGTGATTGTGTTTTGTTTCGCATCGACTTTCTTTTGTTACCGATGTGTGATGTATTTAAATTCAGGGATACACTGAAAATCAGACATAAATAGACTCAATGAGCTCACACCTGGCTCTAAATATAGGAACAAAATACAAAGGGGATAACATTTTACACTTATATACAATTTAAACCCAACAATCTCAAAGCGCTTTCAATAAAAAAAAACACAGACATGATAATGAACAAGAACAAGGACTGGTTCTGGGGAAAATAAAGCATTAAAACAAGTCACAGCAAGCGTAAAGACAAAGTACACTTTACGAGACACGAAGTGATTCAACTTATTTAGTTTTTCGTAGAGTTCGGTTACGGTAGAGCATGGGGTTGGCACCAACATAATAGCCCTTTTATCGAATTTGCAAAAAAAAACCTCAATGTTTCAAGAGCTGCAATGCACTGTGAATACGAGAGACGGTAGATCCTTGGTAAATAACGTCACGAAGCATGCCTTAAAGAGCCGACTGCTGATTATGGAATTATGATGATGGAGTTGGAGTTTAGGGCTATAAGCAGTGTAGGCTTATGGGTAGCTACCTTTTTCTTTAATCCGAGTCTGCAATGACAGTGGAGTCTCAGGCGAGGTAGATTGTGCAGCTGCTGTAGTGCATTGAATTGCGCTATACTGTGCTGTATTTATAAAGTGTGATTATATTATCCAAAAAACAGCTGCATAGGCAGTCACACGTGTGATGTGTATGGGCATTGCATATGTGGTGCGTACAGAGAAGGCATTGTCAACTGGTTATGATTACACATTAGAACCCTGCTCGTTGTATTATTCAGTCACATACCTGGCGAGTTCTGGCTGTTTTCATTCAACGCTGGGACCTTCTAAAATCTTGCACTTGGTGCTGACAATTCAACCGGGAAGTTGATGTTATTAACATGCAAATATAAGTACGGGGTCTACGATTCCAATTTTAAAGTAAAAAATAAATAAACATGGCAAATGCTAAATTCGGACTGTTATGCGCATTGATTACGTGGGGCGTTGAAGCACCAAATGAAAATGTTCCGCACAAAGAGTCGAAGCCTCGAAGGGGGATGTGCGCTGTGTGACCAGAATAACCTGTTCCTGAAATTAACATTTCAGTCCGTCCTCCCCACCAGCAGCAACCCACCTCTTCCTGCTGGCTTCGTGGTAAGTCGCAGTCGTGTGTCATGCAGCGCACACTGAGGCAGAGAGAGAGAGCGAATAGTGGATGGCAGCGAATGATTGCGTTTATTTCTCAGAAGTTGAATGCACCCCAATAAAACAGATAACCCACCCACTGTGAGGAAGCAACACGACACTCCTGTTTACAGCTGAGCACACCACTTGCATTCACTACACGAGGTAAATGCCCTCGGCATCCAGAATAGCTGCTGCTGCTGCAGCTGCAGCGCTTGCACATTAAGTCGAAAGGGGCAATCGTCGATCGTCGCCCGATGAATCGCGCGTCCTTGGCTTCAGACCGCGTTGCCCCCCCTCCGTGTTTCCTTTCTCACAGCTGCGCTGCGATGGCTTCCGAGGGTGACTCCAACAAGCGTGTGCTCCATCGGGTGAAGGACACCCTCAAGATCGAGGGCCCCGATCCCTCCATCACCGACCTGCTGGACTTCTACCTCAACAACACCAACATGCACGGCATGCGCCGAATCGCAGTCTCAAAAGGGCCCATCAAGAAGACGATTTGGATCGTGTTCTCGCTCATCGCAGTGGCGATGGTGTTCTGGCAGGGCATCCAACTCATACAGAGCTTCTACTCCATCGCCGTGTCGGTGACGATCAACTATCAGAAGATGCCCTTTCCAGCCATCACCATCTGCAGCCTCAATCCCTACAAGTGAGTGGTTTTCTGGATGATTTAATCAGTTGTGCGTTTTGCATTTCCACGCAGAGTTTTGTAGCCTATAATAAATACACACCGCCATCAGCCACTGCTGGATGAAGCACCCTTCCAAGTTGCCATCTCTCACGTTCAATTGATGTACCGATCGTTAAGATAATTGATCCGTCTCCACTGTGGACGTTCCCTCGGATTCGCTCCCTTCTTTGGCTGCTCCTTCGTCGTTATTCTCAGCCACCGTTCGCTCGAGTGACGTGCTGCCAAAGTCCCACTTACATTTCCGAACACACAACATTGTCTAGAACCGGTACGTGTTTTCTAACACGTGTTAATCGCATTGGCTCTTCGGTGTGATTTCAAGCACATACATCAACTGTGCTGCTGCTGCTACAGATGTAACCGGTACATTTTCAGTATTGTTACATGTGGACTAAAGGAATATCTAATAGCAAGTAATGGGAAGACAAATTAGTACGGGTAAATTCAAACACCGTAATCACTAACGGTGTGTTAAATATATTTTTTGGTTAAATACCGCGTTCATAAAATGCCTACGTCAAAAAAATATATATCCACATATAGTACAGTAATGAAATGTCAAAAGAGGTTCACACACTCATCTCGAGTGTTTTTTTCATTACGAAAATATTAGTTAAATAAAATTCTAAAGCGCTAAGCTGGTAACACTAAAGTATTTTAAACATTAACAACACAGTTAAGCAATAACATGAAAAATAAGAATACGTTTTACCCTTTCTGGCAATAAAACAGGCGTTATGATGTTCAAAACACCAACGAGACACCCTTTGCAAGGAATGTTAAGTCTGCATTAACCACACGTACTCGTGGTGAACATGCAAACAAACGTGATCTAATGATATATGTCATTGTCTTTGAAACTGGTGCAGATTTGAATCCTTGCAAAAGGTTTCTATTTGGTGTTTGAACATCTTAACACCTGTTTCATTGCCAGAAAGGATAAAACCTGTTCTTATTTTTCATGCGTTGATACTGACAAAAAGGTGCCATGATCTAAGCAATGTCGTTTGGTGCCAAGGTTTTACACGCAGGTTTCTGTTGTTGAGGCGAGGCAATCTTTGTGCAGGACTGGATTACGTTTGGTGGGGGGCTGGGGCCGTTATAGTTTTGGGGGGCAGGAGGGGGGCCTCTTTGTTGATGTAATTCCTTACCTGACTGTTTTATCTCCCACCCATATCCGATACCCCCCCCCCCGCCCTATGTCATTCAACTTGGTCATTTCAAATCTCGTTTTAAAATGCGATTCATAAAATGTAAAGCTAATTCAAAGTTCAAATGATCACATTTATTTCAGGTTTGGCACGTAATTGTTCGAATACACATTGTGATATCAATGATTTCATGCAGCAACTTCACCTACAGGATGTATCGCAATGCCTACAAGTATTGCGCTTGAGCCTAGAAGCCGCGGCGTCGATCCCTACCCAGCCAACGCGTACCAAAGTTCAGAGCGGGGCACGGCGCTTCGTCTCCGCCCGATCTAATGACGCCTCCTGCGACTGGCGCGCGTGCAGATACAATCAGTCCCAGGCTCTGCTGGAGAAGCTGGACAGGAACGCCGCCGTGGCCCTGCACAACATCGGCATCGCGGTGACGAACCTCAGCGCAGCGAAGCGGGACGACGAGCCGCTGCCCATGCCGCTGGTGTGGCTGGACACCACGGTCACCAATCAAACCGTGGTCACCGATGTGATCAGCGGCAAATTCCACGTTGTGCCGGGGGAGGTGGAAATGAGGTCGTACTTCAGCCAAAATTATCAGTCGTCCGAACCTCTTATCGCTATTGAAGTGGTAAGTTTGCTCTTTACAAACACTGTTGATTGCAGTTATTCGCATTCAATTTTTATGCGTTGTATAGATTTCCCTTTATGCGTGTTTTGTATTTCCATCCAAGGCTGTGAACATATGTCCAAGTTCCAGTTTGATGCAAAAGTAAACGTTGATAGAGCTTTAATGCACTGACGATTTGCGCGCGTGTGTGTGCGTGTGTGTGTCTGTATGCGCGTGTGTGTGTGTGCAGTGTGGGGAAGAAAAAAAATGTATCTACAATGCCTTCACGTCCGCCATTGATGCTGTAATGCAGTGGTACCGCCTGCATTTCATCAACATCATGGCCATTGTGCCCGAGAAGGATAAGGACAAGCTTGGGTACAGTGCCGATGAGTTCATTATCGGTTGCCTCTTCAGCGGAACTGTTTGCGATCCCAGGTAAAGCCACTGCCTCTCCCCAGCGCTGCGCTGACATTGCACTATTAACTATTTAAACTAATTATTTTACCAGGTAAGGCCCACTGAGCCATAAAGCTCTTTCTCAGAAGCGACCTGGCCACAAATGATAGCTCAACTAAGAGGCTTATGACATGGAAATTTCATGCAGCCAAATACTCTAAACGCGTGTTCATTCGAAATGTGGCGAGAAAAACATGGAGGTCCCGGAGAGAAAAATCCACGCGAACAGGTGGAGAACACGCAAACTCCAAATATACAGCAGGCGTCAGGGTCGGGATCAAACCCACGACCTCCTGAATACCAGGCGAGGTAGTTGACATCTCGCCACCTTGACGCCCAGTTGAGCCACACGCCAACAGCCACACAGCCAACGTATACTGCGCATGGCAGGTGAATCGGGGGCTATTTGTTTATGTTATATGTAAAATAACTTTTTTTGCACGATGGTATTTTAGGTATTTCCGAATTGTGAAGCAACAATGCGATAATTGGAAGGGGGAAGAAAAAACTTTATAAATACATACTATTAAAAGAAACATAGTTAATCAATGCATAATTCATATTTACTGTACCTTCAACAGCGTGTCGTTAACAGGTTAATGATCGGTAAAAAAACGCATTGAATCTATGGAGGCTCGCCGTTAAGCGATTAGTCGTTAACAGTGGTTCTTTAGTAGTATGTTCTACTCGATGGCAATTGGTGCTTCAGTTGCAAACATTTAATCATTTGTTCAATTGAACTGCGACCTTGCCCTTTTTCAGCACAAGCTTCAAGAAGTTACAACATCCAATCTTGGGAAATTGTTTCACTTTCAATGACGGACGCGATGGGAAAAGTTTGGACATTGCCTCCGCCGGCATTGACTATGGTGGGTGCTGCATTGCGCGACCCAACACAGATGCAATCTTTAAATCTTCGATATGCTATTTTTCTTTATTCCCTCACCGCCCCACCTCCCCCCACCTCTAGCGCACAAAAATAACATTTTGAAAATCATCTACATTTTAAAACCTGTCAATGTTCGTTTGCAATTTTCAGGGCTGCACATGATTCTTAACACGAGGCAGGACAATGCCCTACCCTACCTGGCCATGGGGGCCGGTGCCAAGATTGGCATCCACCTGCAGAATACAACCCCCTTCATCGAGGCCGTGGGGATCAACATCCCCCCAGCCACGGAGTCTTCCCTGGGACTTCGAGTGGTACTCGTGAACACGGAACGAAATTATCACGATCAGTATAATGGGTTCGGGTATCCTGGTTGTGCTCTATATGTTTCTCTCCGATGTGTTTTCGGGTTGCGCCGTGTGTTGTTGTTGTGGCTTGGTACGATGTCTGACGTTTTGCCCCACGTGCCGGGAGCTCCCGCAGGAATTCTCCAAGAAGTGGAGCGAAGTGTTGGTGGGGGGCGGGGAGGGGCATCAGGCTGAACAACGCGCAGTATAACCAAAGGAACGCATCTGAGAAGCAATTTAAGCTCCCTTTGAGAAGCTGACACTTTTTGTTGTTGTTTCTGTTAATTTTTTAAAGAACGATGTCCAAAAACTCGGTGAGCCTTACAGCGACTGCACAATGGACGGAAGTGACATCGATGTAAAAAGCCTCTACGACAGCCCATACTCGGTGCAAGTGAGTACCTTGACAACCGTAACTGTGTTGCACATCATGAACTGCCCTTTGCGCCGGCAGAACCTCAGCATCTACCGTGCTTTTGGTTCACGCAAATTGAGCATGACCTCTTGTTGCAGCAGCCCTTTTGCCCACTTCAGCAATTGTTTCTTGCTGTGGTTGTCCCACCTGATGACGGACGCTTGTGTTGTGCCCGAAATGTCGTGATTTAATTTATTTTATTTTCTACCTACGTGACTTTACCAAAAGACCTGCCAGAACTCGTGCTTCCAGTTGGAGATGATCAAAAGCTGTGGCTGTGCCAATTACGAGCAACCGCTGCCTGAAGGATCTCACTTCTGCAACTACGACAACAACCCAGGCTGGGGTGAGCGGCTCCACTCAAAAGCGAAGTTGGACAAATGTTAATTTTGTACATTAACCGGTCCCCTTTTGTATTCTCGTGCTCCGAGACGACAATGATTCACGCTCTACTGCTTTCTGTTCCACCTTCCCCTTTTCAGAGTACTGTTACTACCGCCTGTACGACATGTACATTAAAGAGGAGCTCAAGTGTATTCAAGTCTGCCGACAAATTTGCTCGTGAGTGTAAAGAAAAAAAAAACACGTCTCGGTCGCATTTCTACTGAACTCCGCCTGTCCCCACGGTGATGCGGGAGGATGGACATCGCCGGTTCTGTTGTCTGTGAAGTTGTCTACAAATTTACGCCACTTAAAAATTACCCACCACCTCTTCACTTTGACTTTCAGGACACGTCGGGTACACAGGCCTGGCGGATTTATTCGGCGTGCGGTTGTTTTTTATGTCACCCAACATTCTGCTGCGGGCCTTTGTTCATGTGTACAGCAAAAATCGAATACAAAAAAGTATTTAAACAAACAAATAAATCACTGATAAATGGGATAATGTAATGAATAGTGCTGTGGATAATAGGAGATTTTTTTTGCAGACTCTACAGCTCCCACAAATAGAATTTGTGGGCAATTGGGTCGTGGATGGGAGGAGTTCTCCTGTACCGTGCTGCCTTGTGTCAACAGCGTGCAGTGCTATGGCTCACACGATTACGAGCCATTTCAATGCCCCACCTACTAAGGCGGTGCATTCAAATACGTTCAGCTTGAAGGCAAGGAAACCACAGCCGAACCTAAAAAAGGCTGGTTGTTGTAATTACTGGCGAAACGTCGCAGTACTCGAATTGTAAATGTTGTGGGTTTACTCTCCATGACACAACTGGTGTGCTGAACTCGTAACGAATTGGCCACGTTTTGTTTACGTGACAAACCGTACTAATTGGCTGTGTCGGGTGGTGGCGGGTTTAATTACACATCTATATTTACGCGATCTAACCCAAAAATCCTCTTATGGACTAAAGGGATGTCGTTTGAGTTCAACCTCTGGTCGTATGACCTGGGATATTTGCATGATCTGTTTGTATTGTCGTACAGGGAGACGGAGCACGAGGTAACTTTGAGCCTAGCTGACTGGCCGTCCAAAGCATCTAAGGTAAGAGCACAAATATCATGTCTGCTTGGCCTAACCTTTTCTGTCGCTGTCGGGATAGGCTTACGTCCGCATCTAGTCTGAGGTGTCAGTGAACCAATGGCGATTAGTTTGGCCAATTAATTGCACGCACGTGCATGGTCCACCCCTAAATCGCATCCACCACACAAACCATGGCAGCAGATGCGGATATCCGATGCACAAATGGAAAATAAATCAAAACTCCAGGAGTGTGCGACTGTGGTCATCGGCAACCAGACCGTTCAACGTATAACGACGCAATGCCCCGATCCACAAATACGAAGGCGACATCACGGTGATACGCTCCGCTGCTGCTGACGCGGTTGTCTGGCTTGACCACCTGAATGTGAAAGTGTAGTTGCTCTGCATCTACATCAGCAGCCGTACGAATGAGAGAATTGCACGCACGTACAATTGCGCGCTTAATCCTCCGTAAACACCCGTCGCTAAAACGTGGACACCTTTGCAAACGAGATGTTCCAACCTCAATGGATTGTCCAGGTGGAATAGTTGAACAAGTGCACAGCTTCACAAATACCCAGTACTCAATTATGTACAGTACTCTAATGGTATATCATGGGCAGTACTGCAGGTCGAGTGTTTGATTTTTTAATAATTGACCCTCCAAGTTTGACACCACAGTATGTGAGTAAAACGTATTTAAAATACATTTAGGTGTCCCGCAGCGGTTGCTAGCTCACGTCGAGTATAACACGTGGGTTTCCCACATTGATAGCATTTGTCACGAGCATGGAAGACAAAATACTTGACATTTGCTGTGCCTCTAGGGGTGGCTGTTGCGTGCGCTTTCTGAAGAGCGAGGACTGCCGGCCAACGACACACTGAAGCCGTGAGTATTTAGCCAGAGGTGCCAACGAGAGAAATGTTTCATTCGCATCTCCATCCAAGGCCATTGACGTGACACCAAATGATTTTGCTTCAATTACTATAAGGGGCTTAACATCACTGTCATTTCTTTTAATATCCCACGTTTGCATTTCTCAGGAGCGACATTGCCATTGTCAACATTTACTTCAAAGATCTCAACCAGAAGACCATTTCAGAATCTCCGGCGAGCAGCGTACGTCTTGCGTGTGTTGTTTAACACGTAGCAGTCGGCTTTCGTGATCGATATTATTCGTAACAAAGTTTTGTTTTGTTGGGTTAGATCGCGTAAATATAAATGTGTTGGTAACCCACCACCACCCAACACAGCCAGTGTGTTGGAAGATTATTGTAAATGTTGTGGGTTTACTCTCCAACACACCGGTGTGCTGAACTAGTAATTAATTGGCATGTTTTGTCTACGTGACAAACCTTACTAATTTGCCATGGTGGGTTAATGACACATTTGTATTTACACCATCTAACTCTTGTGTGCTTTCACGAAGAATTCCACTTCTAGAATATGAAATGGAGACTGAACACATCGGTACTGCCGCATAGGTTTCCGCACTTGTGGTGCTGCGTAGCTCTTCGATTTTTTTTGTCTCCTGGGTTGTACCGTGCGCACTATCCAGCACGACGTCTGATGCTTTGCTCAGTGTGCCACTGAGCGACACGTGGTACAACCCTGAACCCCATCGGGTAGCCGAACCCAACCCATTAATGCATACTCTTTGGTTCTTTCGGTAAAGTCACATATGTAGAAAAAATAATAGATCGCGACGTTTCGATCGCCACACAAGCAATCGTCCTCAAGTGGGATAGAGATCCAATCCATTAACTGCAGAACTCCAGGAATCGGCGTTGATATCAGGGTGAAGCATTTGGTGGGCCCCGTAAATCCGTGGCGCACCGCAGAGGCTCTATAATCTGTAAAACAAAGTGCCGTGGATTTTCGAGAGGAGCCACGTTGCGTGTTTCCAAACAATTCAGCACAAATAAATGCGCGGATTACAAAGTTGGTGCAGCTGGCAACTGGATGAATTTGCCGCTTCTGGGAGAGAACCAGAAGTCTACGAATTAATGGGAGGAGCAGTCGCAAACCGCCAATAATCTGTGAGTTTCAGGGAATAGCAGATTCTTACATCGCAAATTATTGAACATCTGCAATTATTTAATTTAAAATCCTGTGTATTTGTACGTTCATATTTTTGTTTATCCTTGCATAGGCCCCTAAACCCTCCCTTCAAGTATATGGCCCTGAATGTTCGATAAAACTATCCAAATTGATTTCATGGGGCAACATCTATACTGCAGCTGTGGCTGTAAAATATTTGGCTATAACCAGAGGCCAATCCACATGTTTGGATAGCCATTGTTATGACATTGACCATTTTTGAGACTTTTTATTAATGCAAATTGTAACAAAAAATGATTGTCATTTTAGATACATTTCATGATTTGGAAAACGTTTATTTCCAATTTGATACTCTCGGTAAAAAAAAAGCATCCCCTTCAGCCCCCCCCCCCACTCCAAAACGTTGGGTGCGCCAACAACTACAACCACAACTCCGGAACAATAGCAGGTGGAGAGAACCCGTGTGCAGACAGCCCTTGTGTGGCCCCCGTCTTTAGATCGTGACATTGCTCTCCAACCTCGGAGGGCTTCTGGGGCTCTGGCTGAGCTGCTCTATGCTGTGCGTCGTCGAGGTGCTGGAGATCTTCTGCGTCGACTTCCCGTGGATCCTGCTGAAGAAGCTGCTCGCGACGTGCCGCAGGACCTTCGCGTCCCTCGTCCGCGGCCCCGACCCCGCGCCCTCCGTCCACTTCCCCGTTCAGTTGCCCATGGGTGGCAGCCCAGCGGAGGACCCGCCCACCTTCCACACGGCGATGCAGTGCCCGCGCGAGCCCATTCCGACGCCCAACACGCCGCCGCCCCAGTACGACACCCTGCGCTTGCGCCAAATCGCCGGCTACGTTCCCGACGAGGGCAGCGACGGAGAGGATTAGCGCGGAAGCCGCCGGCGCCGCCGTCGGCACTCGTGTCGGGGGTCGGTCCGGAATTGCCGTCGTTAAGAGCTCACTGACGTGGGAAATACGTGAAAGCGGATATAAGCAGAACTCTGTTCTGTGCCTCCGCATGAGAGTAAAAATAAGTTTTAGTTCAACAGCCTATTGACTTTCCAGATAAATAGTATCGAGCAATTACCTTCCGGGTCTCATCAGCGGAGTTAAGATTTTCTATATGATGTCAGATTAAAAGATCTCGTGACAAAAGCTCGCCATATAAACATGGGATCCCATTCAATGCAAAAGGCTGCAAAAAGCAATGTGCTTTTGTCCAGACATTACGGAGCAGGATAATGTTTAAGTCATTGTGCCTTTGAAAGAAATACTTTCCTGAAACCTTAGCCTACTATATAGGGTGTACGAAAATATATAATCCATTTTAATGCAAACTAATTCGGCAGCATTTTGAAAGGCGTGGTTGAAATTTTGCCAAAATGTTCCCTTAAACCATTGAAGTGACCTTCAGCGGTGCAGAATGGTTCAACCATTCAAGACTATCACCACCTGGAAATCTCTCAAAACCCTAGGACATGTGCTGCCAAACGCCACGACGGACATGTGTAGGTTTAACAATGTTACCCATGAGATCAAATCTTCATACCACAGTCCCAAGTTTGTGGGTGTGGAGTTTCACAGTTTGATCTCAAAACTGATAGTCTAATTGTAATGTATTACCTCATGGATGGAACATTTTAAGGACACCCTGGATACTCGCCTGTGTTGAAATCAATGGTGATAGGTTTAACACCGTCAGATTTGGCACGGTACATGAAATACAGAAATTAATATTTGGTACAAAAGATGTATTAGCGGAGCCATCAACAGAAGGTGTGTACAGGATTAACTGCACTTGTGGTAAATGTTATGTTGGGCAAACAGGAACAATGGTCAGCACGAGACTAAAAGAACATCAGAGATATTTAATACTCCCAAATACAACTGTCAGAACACGCGTGCCAACAAGGACACTCAATTTATTTGGATAATGTTGAAGTTCTGTGCAAAACCAGCTACTACTGGCCAAGACTAATTAGAGAATGTATCGAAATTGAAATAAATAAATAAAATGCAACTGTTTGGATAGCTCCCGTCTTAGTGCTGCGTGGAAGCGAATCATCAAAGAATACAAAGAATACATTGTTTAAATGCACGCCGATACAAGCCACCATACTTCCATAGGGATTACCGTTGGTACAGCTATTTTAATACACAATGGACAGGAAGGACAAGATCAAAGGGCTCGCATAATGCGCATGCATAATGTACGTTGACTCATTAATCCCCCCCACACTTTGCGCAAAAGTGCAGAAGCGTGGTCACCACATCTACGCCTCTATATAAGGAACGAAACAAGTGGACTTCTCCACAAATCTGGCTGTTGTCTGATGAAGTATGGTTGTTATTACTGGCGAAACCTTGTACTCAGATTGTAAATGTTGTGGCTTGGCTCTCCAACGCACCGGTGTTGCTGTACTAGTGACGAATTGGCCACGTTCTGCTTGTGACAACCCTTACTAGTTGGCTGTGTCGGGTGGTGGCGGGTTTAATGACACATTTATATATTTACGCAATATAACCCAACAAAACCTCTATTGTGAATGGTGATACGGTTGATGAAAAATAAGAAAAGGTTTTGACGCTCTGGCAATAAAACAGGCATCAAGTCTGCATTAACCACCGATACTTGTGGAAAAACATGCAGACAAACATCTGATAGTATACGCATTGTTTTTAAAATTGATTGGCCTGCATTAGAGACAGCCTTCATTTTTCAACATCTAAGAGGGTAAAACTTTTTATTTTTCATTATTTTTGATACTGCCAAAAAGGTCCCCATAGGTGACGAGGTTGTTTTAGTTCTATGCTCGTCCACGGCCGCCACCACAGTGGCTCAAGTTTGATTTGAAATATGGCCTCGAATTGTACCTCCTCAATGTGCCGCCCACGATTGCCAGTTTCCGCATTGATGCAGCAGAGATGATGCTGGACGGCCGTTAGTGGCACGCAACTGGTCCTCCTGTAACTTACCATCGTACAGGAAATTGTGGCGTTTCCATCGCTTTTGTGATCGCCAATCGCAAAATGCACTCCATAAAATCATTCAGTCATTCAGTAATATTTTGCCTCTGCATTCTTGTAATCTAACGACTGCTGCTAACGCAAAAATATTTAAAGTTTAAACAATGTTACATTTTAGGTTGGTAAATTAGTTGATCGGAAGGTCCGTGTGTTGTGGGGTGAAGTATGGGTACTCCCTTCTCTTCCAAAGACGTCTGGTCAGGGTGGAAGAGTAGGCCAAATTACACTCTGGAGGGGCTGTCTTGACCTCCCTCTAGTGGAGGCATTTTTTTCATCCAATACTGAGCCAAAAATTTACATCAACATCCAGATTGCAAGTGCAGTCATCCCAGAACGTGCCAGTGATTAATGCTGATAGAGTTTGGCTGAAGAATAATGTTCGAGACTGCCTCTAGCAGGTGTGTGGCCACAGAGATGTGCAGTGTCTCACCACCACAAGTATCTCAATTCTTGATACAGTAATCTACTTTACAATCCTGTAAACTATTGAATGTTTCGAGACGTTATAATGTACAATAATGACGATATATTTTGGCCCGTAGTGTGAAATGGTTAACACATTTCTGTAGTGTGAAAAAAGTGAACATTTCACGTTAGTAGTTCCAGACCTGTTTTCCTTTACTGAATAGCTTCATGAAGAAATAACAGTTGGTCTCATTAACACATGCAGTATAATATGTCGTGTGAACGTTGCATACCTCCAGTTGAGTATTGCCGTGTTCTCCGGAATTTAAGTCGCTCCAGAAAGGAAGGTGCACCGAAAACCGGTGCCCGTTGTCAATAAAGTTGCACAAGAAGTCTTGTTACACACGGACACGCATGCACGCACGCCTACCAAATGGGAAGATACACCACAACTATTGCTTAACAATACGGAGGTAAAGTGTGCCTCATAATCTGGAGAATACAGTCGGCATGGAAATGATTGTTATTGGGTAAATGTCGTATATTTTAAAGAGCCGTTTAGATTTCTTTATGCAGGGTAGAAAAAGATGAGTTCATACATTGGCAGCAATAATTCATTTCAATAATTATCAAACTTAGAATAATGTGATTTTAATGCTAACAAAATAATAATGTGTTTTTATGCAGCAGAACTTAACTCGTCATGCAGCATGTTTAAATAATATATATAACATGTTTACAAAACAATATTTAACTTGATTTATATTTCTTTTGCGAAGAAATCGTTCAGACTATTTCATAAATCAAGGTGGTCATTGTGCATTTTCACCACCTCAAACTATATTCTGAAATCACGGGAAGCATCCTTTTAAGTATTACACTTCAATGTAACTAACATGCAATATTGCTTTGATAAAAAAAAAACTGACATGAGGCCTCTACAGATAATCATGTTTTAGCTTGTGTTTCACAAAATATATGCATTAAATTGTTTATGTTTGTATACTGTTGGAGTGTATTCTGCTATTTTAAGTTTTAGGACATTGTAATGCATCGATTTACTGCTATGCTTCACGAGTGAACATTCCTTACCTGCGTCTGGCCCACAAGGTGGCTTCCTGTATCACTACCTCAGGGCCAGAACAAGAAGAGAAAACTTCACTATTGCGTGGACATGTTACGTGTGTAGGCAGGTGTAATTTTCAGTTTACTGATCTATGCTAAATTAATATACGGCATAAAGTCGCATATCTAACTGGCTAGGTACTGAGATATGTAAAAAGTTGGATGTTTGAACACATAGAGGATTTAGTTACTCTTTACTCAAATAGGCTAATGGACACACTTCGAGTGGAAAGTGCTTTAAACAGAGGGACATGCTTCACTGTTTTTGGAAGTGAATGTGCGTGCTGCTAAGAATGTGTTACCGAATGCGAACAGGTCGGATTTGTGAACATCTATAGAAAGTGATAGTTCATACCGTCGTGGACAAATTCTGGACAAGGCGTGGGCGCTTAATTGGTGAGGCTGGACGACGGTCGGATATGCGACGTAACTGTAGTTCATGACGGTGCCATTCTGCGAAGGTCTTCCAGCGTTTACCTGCACTTCTAAATTTGGAAAACTTGAACGAGACATATCAGCGATCTGTTACAGATACCCTCCTCTAAAGTTTAGCTGGCTCAACTATTTCCGTCATCAGAAACTTGCTTTGTTGCACAATTCCGTTGAACAAGCGACGTTTTGCTGCCACTTTGGAATGAGACTTCGGCTGCTTGGCGAGGCGCACCAAGGCTCTTCTGAGCAATATTTTGAGATATTTTACCAAACACCAGATTTTGAGACGTTATACCTTAACATGAATGGAGACCAGAGCCAGTACTGTATAACAACAAATAATAACTACAAAAACATTTAGGAATGCAAAGGTTTAAAAGTTTGTCTCAAGATAAATATGAGCAAATAAAAAATAATCGACAAGTTTGCTGAACAATTTTTTTTTTCATTTAGGCATATGAGTTGATCAAAACAAGAGAATATGCAAACGTAGAGCAATTATTTAAGGTAAATCATGCGGACGAGATCAGGATAGAGCACATTTGAAAACGGAATAAAAAATATGTAAAACAACATACTTTTACTTGATACAGCCGTCGTGGCTGTGACGGTTCCACCTGAAGACGGAAGCTTGTGTTGCCTCCGAAACGTCGTGATTTTTATTTTATTTTACTTTTATTAATTTTAATGTTTTACCTACGTGACTTTACCGAAAAAACCTAAGAATATGAATCCTTGCAGTCACGAAAGTTTCAAATCTAGAAACATACCAATGTGTCTGGAAATTAGAGTTTCCAAACATTGCAAATTACCTGCTCAAAGCCACGACCATTTGTCGTCAGAGATTGTATGGTTATTGGTAGTGTCCGACGTGTGTGTGGATGAGTTGTTAATGTTTTTGTTTGCTCCTGAATATAATCATCCGTGGTCAAATACACTCCATCAAACGTGGATTTGGTTTACTTTATTACTATCGATCCGCTGCGTTCAACAGCCTTTGGCGCCATCCATTTAGTACGGACGCAAAAATCTGTCAACTTGACCCCCCCCTCCCTGTACACACGCGTACAGGGAGGGGTCAATCCCCCCCCCCCCCCGAATCCTATAGAACGGCTTCACCCCCCCCCCTGTCCTATGCGTACGTACTAAATGGATAGCCCCTTTCTTTAAATAATATACATATATATGACGTACGTCTAGGCATTACAGTACAAAGAATGCATAACAGAAACTTGAAGTCCATAAAAAGAGAATAAGAAAATAATGCCTGTAAAATAAAACCAATGCAACGTGAAACTCTTACATTACTTTTTCAATTCATACAACCTCTTTGTGTTGGTGGGATCAGCGAACTCACAACATCTGATCGAGTCACAGGGACCTTCAGTCGGGAATTTAGTAGTGACAGTGCCACACATGTAGCCACCCTGTTTATGTCTTTATACTAACATGAATGGTTGGGGACATGAAAGAGCCCATTCAAGGCATGTCCTGTAATATTGTGGAGTATCTTTTGCCTTTATAGGCCAGAGCGTTGTTAACGAACGTGGTTGAGTTTTTTGTGTGTGTGTGAGTACGCCCCTGTGTTCGTGGTACAGGCAGCAAAGACAAAAATACAAAGACCCTTTCCCCAATATGGCCTTAACATACTATTTTCTATCTAAGTGACTTTACCGAAAGAACCAAGAATATGAATTCCTGCAGTCACGAAAGTTTTAAGTCAAAACCTTAACAGACTGCTGAGCCAAGTGCTGTTAGCGAACACCTATGAAGGCCTGCACGGTGGCCAGCACCACACCCGACCGCCTTTGAGGCTGAGTCGACCTAGGGGTGGTCCATGACTGGCTGTGAGTGGGAATCGAACTCTGGTCGTCGGGGTCGTAGCGCAGCACGCTAACCGCTGCGCCACCGCTCCACAAGGTGTAATAACACACCCTTTTCAAAACGCGTACCATTTTTTTATATACACCTTGTCAACCCCAGGAGCATGATAAACTACAGCAGTCGTACACAAAGAACGGTGACAATAAATTGTAAGGCACCAACGGTAGCGTTGTGTGTCATCTGAAGGATCGGACACTATTCTCAGGTGGGCTATCGAAGCGTTCTGCAGCAGCATTGATGTCCATATAATGTATAGTCCTATACCCGACATAAGCAGACAGACTGACATGGTCACAGCCTTCCTGTTACGGCTGGGGTCGGAAACCTGCGGCTCCGGAGCCGCGTGTGGCTCTTTTAAGGACCGCTTTGCGGCTCTTGAAATATGAAGGTAATTTTTTTTTTACCAAAGAAAACAATGTCTTCTCTTGTTAGTTTGGTTTGCCGACCCCAGCATTACGGGAAATGTTTAACTGCAATACAAACATTATCAAGTATCAAATGCCGGGCGGAAATTAATAACAAACAACATCTTTAGGACGAGATTAGGTTTCATGGGGGCCCAGGATTTTCATTGTCACCTATGCCCGATGCCCCAAAGAAACCCCCATGTAATCCACGATGGTTTATTTCAGTTCCAGATTTTAAATGCGATACGTGACTTGTAAAGTAAAATAATAATATACGTTAAAATGACGACACATATTTCAATTCTGGCACATACCCGGTAATGATACACGGAGCGATACTATAGGTTTAGATGTCAAGTTAACTGTAGGATGTATCACGGCGTTAGAGGACTGTAAAGTCTGTGGGTTGTACTCTCCAAACAAATATCGGGGGCAAAATCGGACAACATTCCGTGGTTCTGGATTTTCCTGTTTCTACCATCATCCATTCTTCACATAGTCCAGCCCCACTGCCCTTCTGCTACCCCCATAAGAGTGAAAAATGTGCTGACCTAGGGATCGCGTTGTACCTGCGCGTTGCACGCACCTTGCAATGCGTGTCCCGTGGCTTCGTTGTGCTGAATATGGTGAAATATGCATGTGGGTGTGAATTTACATCTACGCAACGGCAGGGTTCTGATCTTGTCACTTATTATTTTTTTGTGCATGCCCATGTTTTCATCGTCATCAGCAACTACGTATGTTGAACTTATTTCGCACCGTACGTAGCCAATTAGAGCTGTGGTGAAGGACAACAACACTAAACACAAAAAGTAGTCCGCTGATGGATGAAGGCCTCCCTAATCCGCCAGTCGTAATCCGCCGGGCACCTGCACACGAGACGCTGTCATGGCTCCCCATCCTCAGTCGACGACGTCCTTTGGGATGGGCTCCGTCCGTTGGCTGCCACTACATCAACATTGTTGACAATTATCTATCATTCCGCCGAGCGATGTGTCCTTTTCAAACGTCCATTTACTTTTCTAAAAAAATAAATCAGAAAATTGCACAACAAACACATGGAGAGATGCATGCTTGGAATTATACAGAGACAGAATGAGGAATACGTGGATTGAGAACATATAGTCATATACTCAATAGCACATGCTTAAACAAAGCATATATTTTTATTCTTTGGTTCTTTCGGTAAAGTCACGTAGATAGAAAAAAAATAAGAAATAAAGTGAATACATTTTTTTCCCTATTGTTTAGCCAAAGTGCGAACACAATGTGGGACCAAAATATTAATGTATTACTGACCAAATGACTCTCTAGCCCTCTGTTAAACTATCAGGAAGGGGCGGGTCAAAGACTGTAGCTAATTAGTGGCGCCTTGATATCCTGTGTTCCTTTATTAAACAATGCTTCTCTACAATTCGTCTCATCCCGGCACTTCCATTGAACAGAGGTAACACCGGAGTGCCATTTCCGCCCACGTGTACCTTTCTGCAATCCTAAAAACAACCGACCTCTCACCAAACGTCTGCGCCCCTGCAAATTCAATCATCTCGTGAACAAAAGGCTCACCATGTAACCCTCACTGTGCCCGTGCCCCTGTCTGGATGTCATTGGTGTCAGTACAATATTTTAGACATTAAAAAAAGAAACAAACTTTTTGGACAAAAAAAAGGGATATATTTTTCTGATGGGGTTTCCGACTCCACCCCCCCTTCAACAAGTTGACACAAACACCGATTGTGCTGAAGATAGAATCTTCCGCATGGAATCTTTAGCACAATTAATCTTTTTAAAATAATAAAATAAAATAATTAATTACATGCACCCGTGATTCCGAACGTGCGGGACAAAGCGAACCTCTGACCCCACCCCGTCCCAATATAAAGAAGTCAAACTCCGCCTCGGGGTAGAACGCCTCTTATCCGTGATGAACGGGGAGCGAACTTTGAGGATCCCATCTGTGCGGCGTCCCCCGACTGCACGTGCGCCCACGTGGCTGGCTCGTGCAGAGCCACATTTTGCGACAACGGTCCAAACCAACCTCACGCTGCGATCTCTTCAGCGTTTTGTCCCATTGATGAGCAATGTGCCTTGAGCCATGAGAACGCATGCAGTAGAACCTCAATAGGCGCCGCGGTGTCGAGATGTTAACTCCCTCGCCTGGTATACATGACGTCTCTGGGTTCGATCCCGACATCGACGCCTGTGTAAATTGGAGTTTGCACTTTCTCCCGATGGTCGCGTGGTTTTTTGTTTCCACGGGGTCCTCCGGTTTTTACCCTCCACATTTAGAAACATGCATTTAGAGTATTTGGCCGCTGTAAATGTCCACGTGATAAGCGACTTCGTTGAGCTATCATTTGTGATGGGCAGGTCGCTTTTTACAATAAAATAAAAATACGATAATTGTTTTTTTACCCTTTTATCTGGCAACAAAACTGACACCTT